GAGGACCTGCAAACACAAATCTGCCAGTTTAAATTCATAGATAGAGATCTGAAGATTGAATAGCTCAAGCTAAGAGTAGTTTCACATGGGAATGGGAATAGTTGTTCTCATTTAACAATATTCTTGTCAAGTCTAGTTTGAAAAATAAAAACTGTCCGCTGTGATGTGTGTATATAGTGAATTAACCTTACTGAACCTGCTTATCCAGTCCTAACTAGTTTTAGTTTGAGAGGTTTATCGAATATTATACCTTAAAGTGTTTTTTATGCTTCACAGCAGAATTTAGGGCTACGTAATCATTGTTTTGAACGGCAGATGGTGAGGTCTTATTATTTTTCACTTTGCACTGCCATGCTGACTGCAGACTGTAGTGTTTAGGAGGTCGCCTGACAGACGTCCAAAGCTGCTTGTTGACTGTGGCTGTCTTTGTGTCGATATTTCATGTTCTTCTGCTGCCTCCATCAGTTTTCTCAGAGCATGTTCATTCTTTATTCTGAAGTTGTCGTGACTGTGAGTGCGTATGTTTCTGTGTCCCTGTGCATTTGTTAACTCTATTATAGACTGACCACGTACCCAGAATTTACCCGACCTCTCTCTTAATGGCTTGAGCCCCCTCGCATTGGGTAAGTGGTTAACAAAGTGGATGGATGGATGATTCTGTCACTGCAAACTGTCTCTGTGAGACATTTGAGTAGAATGTATTAGTAACACTTACACAATTACTGTATTTAAAATAGCAGCTACAGCTGAGGAATAACAAATGGCATGGCACCACATCCGTAATGAGTTGATTGATTAAAATAAGAGTCGTAAAGAAAGGAGGAGTCTGGTTTTCATATTTCAGATTTATTGGTTTGATGCATTAGTTGGGATTGGACGACACAGACTGAATTTTAAAAGAAATAGCCGACCTCTGCGGAGAAAATGGAGTAATATAATTTGATGATCATTTCAAGAACATAAACTCGGGCTGAGACATATTGGCTTGTAAGTTTCAGGCGTTTCTAAGAGTCTCGTCATTTGATTTACAGATCTGTGATGAGTCTGCAGTCCTTACAAACGACACATTGTTTTAATATATGACCTCTACCAGGCTGAAATCACTGGACATGCTCAAAATCACTGAGCACTTATTGTAATTGATCATTTCCACAAACCTCCCATATTTTTTGCTATCCAACTTATAGATCAAAAAAACAAACACTTTTTTTATATGAATGCTATGAACCTGATTGCTTGCTTTCACTGTTAAGTTTTCCACTTTATTCAACATAACCAGTAAAAATACACAGAATATTTAGATGGTATTAATGAGCCATAGCCCCACATCTTACTGCATCATGAGATTTTATTAAAATATAAACTAAACACTTGTAATATTATTAAAATTGACCCTGTGGTTATTGATCTTCTTTGTGTTTTTCTACCACACACCACCGCTGTCGTCCAGTCTTATTTACTGCCCTATTTTTTTGTGATCATTTCATTTATACATGAATATTTGGAAAAATGCAGAGACATTGAAATAGATATCCAGATAGCTGAGGCAGACAGTGCACACAAGACTCCAAGGTGCTTGGCACAACCATGGACAGAAGATGCACTGCATGGTTAGATCAAGCACAATGGAGTCATGAGCAACGACAAAAAAAAAGTCCAACAGATATTGCACAGATGCAACTCTGCACAAATTGACCAAGCAACGTGCCGTATCGACCAGGTTTTTGTGCAAATGTTAAGTAGCAGGTTTTATTTTTTTCCTGAAAAAAGACACAGCATTGTTAGAATATTTTATGGGTTTTGCTGAAGGACGGTCCTGCAGTCGGAGCTGTCGGCAATGCAAAATTTCAGCAAAATCCAAAAAGTGTGAGAGAAGTGATCTGATCTCATGGGGATGTTTAAAAAAAGAAAGAAAGAAAGAAAGAAAAGAAATGCTACTGGCTGGTCTACGATCAAAAAAAGATGAAGAGACTTGTAGCTAGGAAGAGCTGCAGAATTAAAAAAAGCGAAAGATTACTCACAGGTCATGGTCACTGCGGGAAAAAAGGGCTACACCCTTCCTGCGCACGAACTGCGTCAAACCCCACCCTCTCGCCCTTCACGCCCAACTCTAACAGAGGAAAAAAGTCACCATTTGATCACTTTTCACTCTTTTAAAACTCAAATCTCAAACATTTTTAAGAAAGGACCTCCAGCAGGCCTGAAAAATGTCGGCTTGATTAAATTTGTTTCCTCATTGGGCATTCCCAAAGTGATCAATGGAAACAGAGTTTGGGTAATTCATCTGTGATCTTGTTAGAGTCGCAAGATCTCATAGAGTCCAAGTCCCTGAAATTTTAGTAGTTATTGACTAAAAACAAACCATGCTCCCTGGACACTATTGAATTAAGAATTAGAGATATAGCTACTTCTCTGTAGTCCATCTGGGGTGCATCTGCCATCTACTACGAGCAAAGAAAAACCACTCCTAACATTTTAGTCTTAACTATGTTAAGTGTTCCTGTGTTGTGATACCATCAGGCTAAGAGAGCTTCTTTTCCAAAAGGTTTGACAATCTTGTTACCTTCCCTTGTGTCTCTTTCTAGCTCCCTGAGGACATTTTACTACAATGAAAAGGCACGGCACAATAATCAACTTACAGGGCTCAGCAAGTGAAACCACTTTGTGTGATGAAATTACACCATAATGCATATTAATGCACCAAACAGGAAAAAAGCTGCCTTTGGAAGTGACCAAATGGCACGAAAATTGGAGTACTTTGGGTGAAGATGGTGGGCGGCGGTGATGAAACAGACTTTTGTTTTTCAGAACAATGAGGATGTTTGAAAGGGACGCAGCGCAGCTGATGGGATGGTTTAATGGGTTTTATGCACAGATGATGATTGTGATACATGATTACGCTTACTTACCTTCTATTTTCCTGTCTTCTTCTGGAAACCAACATGGCTTAAAATACTAAGAGAAGTA